TAACATTAATTTTATATTTTTAATTAATAAAAAAATTTATAATTAGAGGACAGGGTGCAGCACTGGAAAAAGAAATTTTAGCTTTTTGTAGGATTTATTGTTAAAGTATTTTTAAATTAGTTTTTATATACTTTAAAATTATTTTTTTTGAATAATATCTTGGAGGCACACCTCTATATCAATTTAGTGCATTTTAGATTTAAATATTAAATTTAATTTATAAAACAACACTTATCAATATCCAACCCTCAAAATTAAAATGAAATTTTAGTATATATTAATTGTAATTTCCTACTTTAAACTTCCTTCGGTGTACATTTCAATGTTACTTCATTTCCGTCTCTTCTTCCTGAGACCCACGGCGACGGCAACCTTTATAACTTCAAATTTCAAAATTTAAGTTTTACTCTCTCCAAAAAAAAAAAAAAATTCAATCTCCTATTGGTTACATCGATGGCGAGGATGATCTTCTAAGATGGATTCTTTTCTTGTTAAACAAGCTGTACGTTTTGGCCTTTTTGGATCCTTTGGGAAGATTCAAATGCCGGCCGGCCGGCCTGTTGCGGCTTACTGTATCTCCAACTTTGGATCTGTTTTTAGTTCACGTTTATTTCCAGTTAAACTTTTTCTGTGCTCCAACTTGTGTCTGATCAAATAATTTTCTGTTTATCCCACTGGATTGGTATAATCATCCTTGAGTTATTTCTAGCAAGTTACTACACAGAATTCTGCTTTAGATCGTCAACTGATCAAAACATACTGAGGAGCACGATAACTTCCTTGATCAATAATCTAGTTTCTTCCCCCTTAATTTAATCGTTGATGATGTCGTCCCTCAGTCCCTGCCGGCCCTTGGGTCCAATTCTCTGTTCTGTACTCACCGGGAGCCCGCTCTCTATCCTCTCTTGCTCTTTTATAAGTCACTTCTTTTGTGATCTCGTATTAAATATGAGTATGGTTACTCTCATTTCATATTTTGTTAAGGGGACATAGATTATATTTAATTTGATTAATATTTATAGTTTTT